CCTGCGCGCACTCCCCGAAATGTATTCGATAGAAAACCGACAAACAGGCTACTTTTCTGCGATGTTCGAGATTTTGAAGTTTCTTATATCTTAAGATTATTATTTTCGTATTTATTTTAAACTCTCGCCTCTCCCAAGGCCTAAAAAATTAATTTTGAATTTTTAAATGGGAGATTATTATTATTATTATTGTTATTATTACTCCGTTTGATTATTTAACGTGTCTAATTGCTGTTTGTGTCAAATTTAATTTATTAAGTGCGTAATTCATATTCATATCTTTATTGCTTGCCACATCGTTTCACATAAGATGTTATAAAATATAAAACGGTAGTCACACATGTGACACCTTGCAAGGGCGCCGCAATTCTGGAGAGCATTACAAATTATTAACAATAATTCTGTAATCTCTACAAATTACCATAATCAATTTTAATTTTTTGGACCAAAATATATATTTTGATTGTGGTGTTCTATTTTATGACGGGCCATGGCAGAATATCAGCCAGGGCCACGTAATCAGCATAGTCTTCAAATACTGAGTCATGGACCTTTTTGACGTGCTTTTTGTTTTTTTATTATTGTTTTTTTTTTGTATATTTATGATGGATTTTTGTATATGTCTATAGTTATTAAATTTGTATTGAATTAATATTCAATTATTTATGTGATATTGTTCCACTAATTTGTTATATTAATACAAAGATGAAAACTTAGAAACAATTCTTTCGGTCCTGCCTGATTCGCACCGACGTCTACCAGCAAACCGTGCAAGCAGATGCTATGCCAACTAAGCCACGGAACGAACCTGCGGTTTGTCGGATCTTTGTATCTGATTTTCAACGACTTTTTAGCCGTTGCACCATCTATGAGAAATCTATGAAAGTATTTCGTCACCCAGTTAGGTAATTTTACAACTACCAGCCCTGGCTAGAGATGTCGCCGTTAACTATAATTAAATTTGTATTTAATTGATATTCAATTATTTTTGTGTAATTACTCCACTATAGTCCATCTGTTTAGGTACTTAAATAAATGTAAACAATCTTGAGATGTCTATTTAATGAAATATACATTTATAAAATGATTTTCCCTTACGTTCAAATACAAAATACGAATAATTAGCTTCATATGAAATTGCATGCCTATTTTTATACCTATTGATTTGTAAAGCATGTGTTTCAATAAAAAGATGTATCAATAATGTTTACATTTAGTTAAGTACCTAAACAAATGGACTATAGTTTGTTATAATTATTAACACAAAGTTCGATCTATAATTGTTCCTAATTTATTTTGCACGCACATGTCAAATAAAGCTGATTTTATTTATTTATGTACATGCCATTAAAATTACAAAAGTATGTTTCTTACGTTTCCCTTAAAAGTAAGACAGATAACGCGAAAATATGTATTAAGATCCAACATTATATTTGATTTTCAGGCAAAATAGTGTTAGTGGCCACTATTGATATCTTCAACAACGTGGTAGCGAGGCTGCTACCCACGCCGAGCAAGATGCACTACCTATTCAACTTGAGAGACATCTCTAAGATATTCCAGGTATATCCTAACATTTGACGATTGAGTAATAGTACAATGTTACAAGGGCGGTAAGTACGCTATTACGAACAGAGGGATATTAAAATTGAATTGCCCGAACGTTTGTAATTGCTCTGTGTGCCGTACAAAACACGCCCGCGAGTGCGTTGTACGGCACACATTTTTCTAAATTTTCCTAAAATGAAGAATGTAAAAACTCATCTCAATGTAGATCATTTTACATTGTTTTTACCAAGGGAAAGGCATTACATGTTGAGATACAGGATTTCCTAGTTCAACGGTAGTGGCTTCATCTGACGAGTCCATTCCGCAGCCTATTATTGTACTTAAGTTTCTTTAGCTTAGCATTGTAACGATGTTGACATTTTTCACTGAATAAAAAATATTAATAAATATATTATACAATGTTTGTGATCATACTTGAGAGGAAGTTAAAAAAAAGGAAAATTATTTTACTAGCAATTGTGATGAAAAATTAATTTAATCACTTGCCTTCAAGAAAACGACTCCTAAGTTACATGTGCTTTAAAATTCTGTACAAAAAGTCCTGACCAATCATATGCCTTTAACATCACGTACAGACGAGTTAATCTGACCAATCGCAAGGCTCCAAACACTTAGGTGAACTATATTGTGCAGTTTAGGGTTACATGCTCAAATAGTAAAAAAGAAGCACTGAAAGTGACTTCGAGTTTGTCTGTATTTAGAATTAGTCTCGTAACTTTGTAAAAAGTATTGGAACGTGTACTGCAGGGCCTATTGCGAAGCAATAAAGATTACCAGAACACGAAGCCGCGCTTCCTACGACTGTGGGTGTGCGAGTGCTTCAGGGTGTTTTCCGATCGCCTCACTGACGAAAAGTAAGTTCACTGCTCAAGAGATGCTTCCTCGAAAATTGTAGAACGCTGAGTACGAAAAGCATTATAAATCATGAAAAATCTTACTGGTGAATCCTATTGCCATCTTACGGAATTTTCTAATTAAAAAACTAATTTCGAAAATGAAAGGGCCCGTTTCAGAGTCCAAAGGCAATTGCCAAGCTTTGATGAAGCCATGGATCAATAACTGAAGAGAGACCGTAGTCAGTTATTTGGTACCTTGTGGTACACCAGATGTTGCGATGAGTACCTTATAGCTATTTTTGTAACTAACTTGTTTTACATTGACAAGTTGCAATTTATCAAAGCTACTCTAATTTCTAGATGGCGCTTACTGCATAGATTTTCATGAATAGTATTGGCTATTCTTTTGTTTAGGTTTAGCACCATCTACCCATATTAGGAAGCGTTAATTTATAAATTAGTTGTAACCATTGACTTACAAACAAATGGACGACGGGTCTAATACAAAAACCACGAAAAAAATGTCCCAAGTCAACCTATTTAAACGTAGTGACATGTAAAGGAATATGAAAAAGCTAAAACGTTGAATTTAAATTATAATGTCATCGCAGTACTGTCTAATTTTGCTTGCTTCCCTGTCAGTCGAACAAACGAAGACTAAAGCGTGAATGACGCTCTGTATACGATTTTAACGCCCTATAAGTTCGGACATTTTTTAGCGCGGACCCGACATCCATATAATTGTAAGTCAATGGTTGTAACACACAATGTCATCTATTGACACACATTTGTCACACTTCAGAAAATAATTTTAGCTCATGATCAATGTTTAAATAATGTTAAGAGAGAAAAATAACTGACTTCTTATACAGGTTGATAAAAAAACCACTGACCATTTTAAAGGAGCACACTGTACAATGGAAATAAAAAATACATATTCGGTTTTTTTTTTTCAAATACATAATAAATAAATAAGTTATGTCTGAAAGTTTGTGAATAATATTGAACACCGGAGGATTAACAGACGCCGTTGCTATAGCAACAAGAACTGTGTGGGGTAGTGGGCGGAGTCAGCGCGCGAGTTTATGTATTTGACAGACAACAAAGTGTTAAAACTAACGCGCGATGCGTTATAGTGCGCGCGGAACTAGCTGGCCGCGCCTTAGGTATGTGAGCGGTGGGACGGGGAGGCGGGGGCACTTGATGTCATTACTCAGAATACTCAGTTCGGCGCCGGACTTCGCGGCGGCAACACACGTTGACAGTTCTGGCTAGTTTAGACAAAACGCACAAGAGATTGCAATGTCAAGATGAGTCCGCCGATAAAAAGACAATCTAAGGAAATAATATTTAAAGTGCATACGTTTTTTAAAAAACGGAAAGCCGATGTCAATAGTTTAGAATATAAAACTGATGCGAATATTCATAAATTAGTGGCAGAAGCAACCGGGATATCAGAACGAAGTGTAAGGAGAGTGATTGCTCAAAGTAAAACATCCTTGCAAAGTACAGGGGAAGCAAAATTTAGTTCTCCACGAAGGCCAAAAGAGATAAAAAAGAAAATACAAGTTGATGATTTTGATTTAGGAGTGATAAGAAGAAAAATAAATCAGTTTTATACGGTACAGAAAACAAATCCAAGTCTACGAAAACTAAATGCTGTGTTAAAAGAGGATAATATTTTAGATTGCGGATTAACTTATTTAAGAGAACTTTTGCACAAACTGGGATATTCATTTAAAAAATGTAAATCGAAGAGATCCCTTTTATTAGAGAGACCAAACATTGTTGAATGGCGAGTGAAATATTTGAGGGCCATAAGAAAATTCAGAGAAGACAAACGAAATATATTCTTTTTGGACGAAACTTACGTTAACCAAAGTCATAATGTCCAAAAATGTTGGCAATCTTCGTCGGAGCCTGGTGTTTATGCAGATATAGGCAAACGAAGGCGTTTAATAATAGTTCACGCTGGTAGTCGGAACGGGTTAGTTGACGATGCTCTGCTAATTTTTAAATCAGATTCAAAAACAGGAGACTATCATGGAGACATGAACTCTACAAATTTTTACAACTGGGTTGATCGAAAGTTAATACCTAAACTTCCACCTAACTCAGTCATAGTTATGGACAATGCAGCTTACCACTGTGTGCAAGTTGAGAAGAAACCGACTATGTCCTGTATGAAAATTAATATGCAGAATTGGTTGCAAAATCATAACGTAAGGGCACGTTATGATTTTGCAACCAATTCTGCAATTCTCCCACGATGGTCAAAGCTGAACTCTTGGGCTTGATTAATACGACCCAATCAGAAAAAATATACACGATTGATGAACTTCTGAAAGGTGCAGGTCATACTGTTCTAAGACTACCTCCATATCATCCAGATCTCAACCCAATCGAGCTTGTGTGGGCAAATATAAAAAATTGCCTGGCCAGAGATCACATTAATGCTACATTGGACGAGAAAATTACAATACTAACAAGACTATTTTCTGAATTTTCTGCCGAACAATGGCAAAAATGCGACGACCACGTACAAAAAAACGAACAAGAATACTGGAATCATGATATGAGATATGATACTGTGATGGACGAATTCATTATAAACTTACAAGATGATTCTGACTCAAGTTCAGACAATTCAGAATCAAGTGATTCAGAGGATAATATGTCAGAGTAATTTCATATCTATAAATACAAAGTCGTGTTAGTTACACTAATTAATTAATAATAATTTCATAAATGATTCAAATATGTCGGAAGAATTTCATTTAATTTGTTTTTGGTTTATTTTACTTTTAATTGCAATGCACGGACAACAGCAAGTCCATCAATACATAAATGTCAAATTTATCCAATCAATTTTATACTCTATTCCCTGGACTTTAAGTTGAAAATCAATTGAGGAAATCTGACAGTTTGTGGCGGCCTGATGTGCTGCCGACTGTACATTGCAATTAATTAGATAGGTATAATATAAACTTGTAAAAGTTCAATTGGCTTTAATTTTTTCTTTTCAATAACTGAACAATTATTGTTCACGATATCTCGAGATTGGTCGTCACTGTCTAATCTCATGTGCGTTGCGAGCAGCAAGCAACCCGCCCCCTCACCCCTTTCCCTACCTAAGGCGCGGCCAGCTAGTTCCGCGCGCACTATAGCGCAGGTCTGTCGTCGCGCGGCGAGAACGTGCTGGCGCCTAGGCGTCTAGATGACACGGCGCCGATTGCTCAGTTTTATTTACTATTTTGAGGTATCTATGCGTTAGAAATTATTGGGAAATATTAAAATGAAAAAAATGGGAAATTTTTTATCGTTTTATTTCACTAATGTGTTCTATAACTGAATCTTATACACAGGAAAAAAATGAACAGTAATTTTTTTATCAGCCTGTATTTCAAATTAAACAGAAATTGATATCCTCGGGCATTTACATAATTATAAACTACATCCTTAGCTATTTCTGCCGCCTTGCAATAATGCTCACAGTACTGCGTTCCGGTTACAAAGGCTAAGGGTGCTGGGGAAATTACAGGCACATGGGACTTGTCAACTTATGTCTTAGGGTGACGGGCGCAGTGGCAGTGCTCCTCAGATCTTCGTGATTTAAAGCACTGAGTGGTACTGCAACTGTTATGATCAGGCGTGTCGCTTACCACCAGGCGCACGATTTGCTCGTCCCGTAATTTGGTCTCATAAAAAAACCTTCACATAAAGTGTGCCTGACATTGACTATGACCTTGGAGTTATACATAAATGATATCGTTTGGGAAATATGGAATTTGAGACTGGCTGTTCATGCAAGTTTAAAATATGTGCTGCATTCGTGACGCCAAAATTCTTAATTTTTTTTGGCAGAGATCGCGATTGGTTCATGACCCACATGGGCGACATGCTGGGCAAGCACTTCGAGCTGACGTTCCACGCGCTGTGTCCCACAAAGCAGTCACCGATCTTCGGCCACTTTCTCAACCCGTTCGAGGTTTACGACGATTTGAACGATCCCGCAGCGCTTCGCAAGTTAGTACTACTTTATTGTTATTGTAGTCCACACTTTTACTTTTTCTATGTCCTTTATCATGCTTTGCTATTACCGGTGTGCGCCATTGGGAGGTTCTTTCAATGTCCCCATTTCGACACGTAATAGTATGTACACGATTAGAGAGTAAGCTGTCTGTAAGAAAACAAAGGGAGATTTAATTTCAGTTAAAAATTTACGAATTTTGGTAGCTTCTCTTTAATACAAAGATGGAACACTCAGAATTTCTTCGATCCGGTCGGATTCGAACCGACGTCTTCTTGCATACCGTGCCAGACGCTATACCAACTAAGCCACGGAACGATCCAACGGACCCAACGAATTTTTCTATGTGCTTGCGTCATGTCTTTGTATTTGGTTTTTCAACGACTTTTTAGTCGTAGCGCCATCTATGAGAAATCTATGTAACATTTGTCACTTTATTTATTTTACTTTAATTGATTTATTTTATTTTTGTTTTTCTGAGTGTTCGATCTTTGTATTAATGATTACAACAAACTAGTGGAGTAATTTCACAAAAAATAATTGGATATCAATTCAATAAAAATTTGAAGCTTCTCTATTTAGTCGTGCTAATGGTACGTGCTAAGTTAACGGAATATATGGGCTTCAACTACTTCGATGAGTGTAAGTTCCTTAGGTTGCCCTGGACTTGATGCTAGTGATTTGTATTAGATTGATGACATAATTAGATATACCCTCTTTTAGGCGCCATCAATAAGTTGCATGTAGGAGCGCTGCAGTGGCTACGCGCCAAAAACTTCTGGATATTATCTGAAAATTAGTGCGACTGCAGCGTTTCTCTACGAAACGCAAACTAGGATGATCCCTGCGATACTTCATTTGACGTATGTCATAGGGATGAGGTAAATACGTGGGGCGCACTATAAGTTTCCGGAATGAATAAGAAAAAAATACTATAAATGGACAGAAATGAATTTATTGTTTCTCAAAATATTCTCCATTAGCGTTAATGCACTTTTTCATACGAATGAACCCATTTTGAAAACATTTATGCCAGTCCTCCGTTACAATCTCTGAAACATATTTTTCATACTCTTCGACAGCCTCTTCCGGTGTTGACAATTGTTAACCGCGTAACTAATTCTTAATTTTTGTAAATAAATAAAAGTCATAAGGTGCCAGGTCGGGACTGTACGCGGGATGGATTTTTACGGAGTTTTTTAATAACTTCCGGCAAACAAATGGTCGTGTACCAATCACTATTCAGGGTACAACGATTCTTCAAAGCAACAGTAGCCACGTGTCCAGTTTTATTAAAAAAAGAAGCAATCATCCGCTTAGAGGCACTTTGCACGCGCGCCACTTTGGTTCGTTTCGGCTCATCTCGAAAGACCTTACACTCGATTGCTTGTTTGTTTTGGGATAGTAACTATAAATCCATGTTTCGTCACCTGTTACTATGTCCCACAACAAATTTGACGCCCCTTTGTTGAATCTGGTAAGCATGGCATTGCACCAAGTGATGCGAGCCGTTTTTTGAGCCTCAATCAAATTGTGTAGGATCCACCTAGAGCACAGCTTTTTCACACCCAAAAGTTTGTGTAGTATTGATTGTATTTGACTCATGCCTATGCCTAAAGATGCCCGAATCTCGTGGTATGTCACATGCTTGTCTGTTTTGATCATACGGCACACAGCATCAATGTTTTTGTTGTTCACAGCAGTTCACAGCAGTGGACTGGCGACCATCACGAAATTCATCACTGAGATTCACACGACCGCGTTTGAATTCTGCAAACTAGCTATAAATAGTCGTCTTGCATGGTGCTTCATCGCCAAAAGCAGTTTGAAGCCGAGCGAAGCTCCGCTGAGCTGTTAAGTTACAATAAAGTCGTAGAAAAACCTTACTGCGATAATTTTCACGAGTGAAATAAATTCCATGGTCATGTAGACAACCAATTTCTAAAATGACGCCACAATGTAAAAACAAGTGACAGTCAGATGAAACCTGTATTCTACAGCCAAAGAGTTCCGTTTTCAAATGTTGTAATTACTTTTTAAATATTGCTTATGTAAGTGGCCAGTTCCGGAAACTTATAGTGAGCCCTATTTATATCCAATCGATAAATTTTTAGTGTATTTCATTTTTGAAGCAAAAGTTCTCTTTTATAGTTTTTTTTTCGACTTATTCTGAACGATGTTTGGATGTGTGAAGTGTTTTGTATTATTTTGAAGGTATAAAACACACAACTATAATTGAAATGCAATTTCAGAAATTTTAGAAAATTTCAAAGAACATTTATCATATCTACTTCTTAGTCAACCGTGACCATGGGATCTGTAAAGGTCCCCAGACGTTGGTTTGTTTGAAAAAACTAATATACGCGATTTAAATCCGGAAAAATAGTTTAATTTCCTACATATATCATATCATTAATTTATACGTTTCAAAAAACTAATAACACTGACAGTTAATTTATTGCCTATGATTAAAATTCATACTTTACGAATACTTGCACTATACAATGATTTATAAAATTATCGATATACCTTATCTCTAGCAAATGCAATGTAATAAAAAAATTACAAATTAAAAAAAATGATTTTCACTATATATACAATAAATAATATACAATAAACTTTGATTTGGTGTTTCTTTTTAATTTAATTTAATGTATTTACTTAACAAATGCTATTCGTTTAAAAGCGAGTCTTATAGTAGGTCGTGAAATACGTAAGTTAGTGCACGTCGTCATTACAAAGTTATATTGTGTAGATTTTTATGAACCGTCTAAGGGACCATTCTACAAATATTATTTTTAGTATACAAGCGTGTAATTTGACGGCACCCTTATAGTAAGGCAATGTGTACAGGTACATAACGAACCAAATGGAAGAATACAACAGCTGTCCGGGCGTCGTGAAGATGGACTTAGTGCTTTTCAAGGACGCCATAGAGCACATAGTGCGAATTGTGAGGGTTGTCTCGCAGCCCAGAGGGAATATGCTGTGCGTTGGCATTGGTGAGTGGATACCTAGCACCTGTTGGTTATATATTTTTATTGGCTTTCATCAACATATTTAACAATTTCCGCCTGTTAGGCGCTTTATTGCCTATACTTTCTTCAAAACGTAGGGTTGTCACATTATAGTTTTAGTTGTACCATGGACTAATAACTCAAGGAGATTTCTAATCTTCATAATCCTCATAATTTAGAACCTATTCGTCGAGTACCAAATAGCTATTTTCGTAACTAATTTGTTTTACATTGACGAGCGGTAATTTATCAAAGCTACTCTAATTTGTAGTGATAATAAACAAATCAACTAGATGGCGCTTATTACACAGATTTTTATGGATAGTGCCGGTTATTCTTCTATTTTGTTTAGGATCAGCGCCATCTACCGAAATATTAGGAAGCGTTAATTTATAAATTAGTTTGTAACACATAATGCCATCTATTGGACAGGCATATTTGTTAAAGTTCAGAAAATAATTTTAGCTCATGAATAATATTACGAGGAACAAACTGGGTTCTTATATTATATATTAATGAGGAATTAATTGATATTCACGGCCATTTACATTGTACTTCCGGGCTATAGATCAGCGCCAACTTCACATATGTAGTAGCAGTTGACCTCCGTGTGAAAGAGTTCGTCCGGGGAAGTACTGCCACCTTACCTACGTCTGCCGCCAAGCAGTAATGTGAGCATTACTGTGTTCCGGTTTTGAAGGGTAAGGGTGCTGGTGAAATTACAGGCACATGGGACGTCAACGTATGTCTCAAGGTGACCGGCGCAGTGGCAGTGCCCCTCAGATCTTTGCGATTGAATGTTCTGAGTTGCACTGCAACTGTTATGGACAGGCGTGTAGCTTACCATCAGGCACACGACTTGTTCGTCCCGTCACTTGATATTAAAAAAAAATGCAACGATATTTTCTCCTTTTATGGGGTTACGATCTGTAGTAGTATGGAGATTAGCGGTCTTCTTGAGTTATAGGCCCATGGTTGTACATAACTACAGGTTCTAAACATAATAAAAAATAATAATGTGTTCAACATAGTATTCTCTTGCTATGTTGAAATAAACTTTGTTAAATGCGGTAGGTACCTAGGAATTGATATTTTTATATTTATTACGTATTGGCGTTTGTGAACCGATTTGACCGATTCTTTTTTGTTGGAAAGAGTGTGCCTCAGGAGTAGACCCTTTTGAAAAGCGCCAGAAAGCGTTAGAAAGCGTCTGTAAAAATTTTTATATTCGTGTAATAGCCAGGGATTCAATGGCGGCACCATTACATCCGGGTATATGGCTTAATTTTTGATTGAAAAATCATTGCAGCAAATTTTTAATAATTCTTTTGTTCCGTTTTGTATTAACCTCTAAGGGTGGCTATTCACGCATGAAGACCTATTTTTATAAATATCGCCTAAATTTTATAAGAATTAATTATTTTAGTGGTTGATTTTGCTATGCTCGAATTGAAGGCGGTTTTCTCTCAATATACTTGTAAGCAGTGAGCACCGATTTTATGTGGTGAATTAGGGGATGAATCCGGTTTTACGCACTTTCCGGTAACCGATTTCAATAAAACTTGGCAAATAAATGCAATTCCACGAACTTACTGAGATTTGGTTCAATGGCGCGTGTGACGTCACTCGTTATGCAACACGATATTAAAAAACAACATAACTGGTTGCAATCAGGTGGTTCCGGTCGGCAGAGCTTGTCCCGCGTAGCGTCATACATCTGCGAGTGCAACTCCTTCCAGGTGGTAGTCACTAAGACTTACGGCATTAAAGAGTTCAGGGAAGATCTCAAAGTGAGTATGAGAATATTGATATTGATAAAGTAAGTAAGAAATCTTCATATCGAATTTTTAGTGGTTTAATTAGCAGAGGTTCTGCTTCTCTCTTCTGACCTCTGCTTCTGATTCAGCTACTGCGGAAGTTTTGCACGTTTTATCGCATCTGTTTCCGTTTCTGCTTCCGCAACTTTTATAAAGGAACTTTTATCGGAAGTTTATAAGCGCGGGTCTTAACAGTTTTGACCAAACGCAATACAAACCCTGTTTGGAACTATGTCGTTGAGATCTTCGTAGCATTTACACTTCCGCTTCCGTATCCGTTTCCGTTGCTTATGACATTTGTTTCCTTATCATTACCGTTGCTCCACCGTTGAGTGGCCGTTGTAAAGTTCTTAAGGTTAGGGCTCTAATTCATGTACTGTACGAATTTGCTCGGGTTAATAATGTCCGCATTCTCAATATCTACAAAATAAAAAAATTACTCCAATGTCCATTGACCAAAGTAATCAGTTCTCAGTACGAGTAGAAACGCTAAGTTGAAAGATCTTGAAATGTCTATTATTACATATTCTGTTTTTATCGGTGTAGTTGCCAGAATAAAATTACCATCCTAAGCGTTGATACACCCAATATTTCTCATTGCAGTTGCTATACAACACATGCGGCGTCGACGCAAAGTTCACGACGTTTATATTCGTCGACACTCAGATTGTCGAAGATGCATTCACAGAAATAATCAACAACCTGCTCAGTAGTGGAGAGGTCACTAATCTCTATAAACCCGATGAGTTCGAGGACGTAAGTTTCACATAAGTAACAGCCAATAAATAGGCGTTCGAGAGTAATTTCTGCCAGACCACACTAGCACATTTTGGCTAACTTACATTTGGCTAACTTACTTCACACAGAGAGATAATTGCGATTAACCTACGTAGCTTTAGATAATTGAAATTGTCGTGTTGGCAGATCAAATCGGCGCTAGAGAAAGCAATGAAAGCACAGAACATAATGCAAACGGCTGAGAACGTCTATCTATTCTTGGTGGAACGCGTCAGGGGACACCTTCATATTGTGCTGTGCTTCAGCCCTATCGGAGAGGATTTCAGGTGACTGTCTAGATTAGACTTTACTGAATTATTCTTAGTTTTTTTTAGCATTAGACATTTCATTCAGTAATTTATTTATTTATTTTGGAAGCAAAAATTTCATAAATACAGAGAGATGTAATTCTCAAACATATTTAGTACCTTTGTGTAGTAGATTACGACTGCACGCAATAATTATACCAAGGTATGTTCTTCATCCATACAATAACGACTTATGTGGTCTGTGATAACAACTATGGAGAAAGCGTGTCTGGAGATACATGTTACCATTACTGCTTAATAAATTGCCAAGTGACGTTCTTGACAAACTTCTATGTAAACCAGAAAAATATAAAACAATTCTTAAATCAATGCTTTTATCAAATTGTGAAATTTAATTATAGTTTTAAGTGTAAGTAGCGTAAATTGCGCTTAAGTATTAGATAGTAACTCTTTTGTAAGACGCCTGAAAGCACGTGTGGTAGCGATACATAAATCTTTTAATGGTTTTCATTCGCTGCTTCTTTTTGTAAACTTTTTGCTTGCGAATAAAACAAAAATAAGAAAAATAAATTGCGTGCAATTTATTTTTTATATTTTTGTTTTTTTCTCTTCTTAAACCATATATTTTCTATTATCAGAAATCGCATCCGCCAGTATCCAGCGTTGATAAATGCAACAACAACAAACTGGTTCCTTGAGTGGCCGCGAGAGGCGCTGCTAGAGGTCGCCTACAAATTCCTTGAAGGAGTAGAGTTGCTGGCTTCTATTACTGGACCGAGGGTAAGAGCTTTTTCAAATATGTCTGTAAATTATTATATTTTCAATTCGGGCCTTAATCATGTATAAAATAGTACATTAATAGCAGAGACCGGGAAGTATAGGATTGCTGGACGAGTATTTACAACCTCAAGCACCAGCAAGGCGTCGTATTCAATACGAGTCAAGCAAACCCCGTTCCCGCCGAGGCTTATGTAGTGATTTTCTCTAACAGTGTGAGGAAATATTAAAAAGCTTACACGGAAGAAAGATGTATAATAGAAAAAGTAAAAAAGTTAATTAAAATTATAAGTAATATTTGACGTAGTATTTACAGGCATTTTCGTTACCGCTCTTCTTACTAGAACTTATTTAAGCGACCAAAACATAGAAAAAAGGTCATAACAAGCAGAAAAAAAACCAATGCACTTTATTTTACCGCCTTTTTTAAATTACAATTAAATTTAATTTCTTTTTTAAATTGAAAAGTATAATAATACATTACGATGCAATTACGAAGACATGGCAGTTGGCTGTATGAGTTTTTCTTTTGCATCTTTACATAGTTCCATTGTTAGCTTAGAGGATGGAAAAAAAATAAGATTATTACACAGGGCGCACTATAAGTCTCCGGAACTGGCCACTTACATAAACAATATTTAAAAAGTAATTACAACATTACAAAATGAAACTCTTTGCCTGTAGAATACAGTTTGTTTCATCTGACTGTCACTTGCTTTTACATTGTGGCGTCATTTTACAAATAGGTT